AAACCAGTTTCAATTGGACTCGAATCAGGTTTCAAATCGGGTTCAAAACCAGTTTGAATTAGATTCAAATTGGGCTTAAAACTGAGTTTGAATCAGGTTAAATACCACTTTACATCGAGTTGAAATCGGGCTCAAAATCAGTTTGAATTGGACTCAAATCTGCTTCAAATTGGGCTAAAAACCAAGTTTGAATCAAATTCAAATCGGGTTCAAAATCAGTTTGAATTGGACTCGAATCGAGTTCAATTTCAGTTTAAAACGACTCCATCTTTTTAAATCGGATCTTATTGGACTCGGAGCTCATCTTGGCTTCCTCTCGACAAACGGCGTTCCCTTTTGGCCCCTCCCCCCGTTGCCGCGGTAACTACTGGTGGCTGGCGAGCAGCTCGTCCAGGTCGGCCATCCACTCCTGGGTGCTCTGGCCCTTTAAGAGCGAGTCCACCAGCTCGCTCTCGGCGGCGAAGCTCCCGGACGCCACGTTGTACCCGAACGACACCTGCTGCTGCCCGCCGCCGCCGCCGGGGGGGGCGCGGCTCACCTGGTAACCTTGGTTACAGGGCAGCGCCTGGCGGGCGCCGCCCTGCTGGCCGAACGCCGCCATGTCGGCCTGCTGCCCCGCCGGCTGCTGATTGGCCATCGTCTGGCCCATCGTCTGCGGGTTGTGCGGCGCCCGCTGCATCATCAGGGGCCGGCCGCCAAAGGGGGCGGGGCCGGCCGCCATCTTGGGGCGTGGCGCCATGTGGAAGGCGTTGGCGTTCCCGCCGAAGGCGTTGGCGGCCGATGGCGGCGGGGCGGCGAGCTGCTGCTGCCAGGCGGCGTTCTGCCCGCCCTGCATGGCGCCCATCATGGCGTTGGGCATGCGGTTGCCGGCGGCGACGGCGAGCTGCTGCTGCTTCATCATGGCGGCGTTGGGCCTCTGGGCCAGCAGGTTCTGGCGGTAGGCGGGGCTCATGGCGCCCAGCGGCTGGCGTTGGAGGTTCATGTTGTTGTAGATGGCGTCGCCCCCGGCAACGCCGCCGCAGGACGGCAGGCTGATGTCCGGTTGGCTGGCGGCGGGGGGCGGGGCCACGCCCCCTCCGGAGGCCCCGCCCCCCCCCAGGCTCATGCCCATCAGGCCCCCCTGGTTCTGGGGGAACATGCGGGCGCCGGGGGAGGGGCCTCCCATGGAGCCCACGCCTCCCATTGGCTGGCTGGAAGCTGGGGGGAAACAGACGGCCAATCAGATCCTCAGAAAAGGCACCAACCCGAATATAGAACCAGTTCAAGACAGGGGCCAATAGGATTCGAATAGGGTTAAATTCTGGTTCCAATAGAGTTCAAATGGGGTTCAAAACCAGTTTGAATC